ACCTTTTCCCGCTAGCTTCATATGTATTGTAAGTTTGGCAGTGATCAGTGAAGTTCGTTTTATCGCATTTCACCGTGCTTTAATGATGATGAGGATGATAATCACAGGCCAGGTTTCATTGCATAATCGCATTTTATTGGATTGTGAATCTGAGGTGAATGATTGCGAAACAAATCGTTCCGGTTGGACTTAAAGGTAATTGTACGGCAGAATAACTCACCATTTACTTACTATAAACACCGATTATTGAAAAGCTGTCGTCGATGGATGTTGCTGCTCTTTCACATCAATAAATCCATATTCATTTCGTAATCCTCCCAGTTGTTCTCGGAAATCGGTCTCCCGTACAGGCCTCGAGTGTCCGATTGTGACTGTGACGATTTCTTTTCTAGTTGTTGAGGTCAAACGTACCCGCAGAGGTTTGATCATTTGTTGTAATAGCCCTCCTTTAGAGGTGGAACGATTGTTGGTTCGCCCCAAGATGATTTGATAGACTCCTACGGTCAGCTATCATGCAGTTAGTCAGTGATAGTCCACGCGGTTGTCACTCCCCTCCCCCTCATGTCGAAAGAAGTTAGAAATCTGTCAGGTCCCACCGCTTTTCCTCTCCTCCAATCTTAAATGCAACACCGTACTATTGCTGGAGTATCACACAACACTTTCAGTACATCTTCAGCCTCATCTGATGAGTTAACTTGGCTGGCCCCAGGTCATGTGAATACCTCTTACGACGAAGGACTTTCCATCCCCTGAACACCACTGATGTCACAGTTCGTTGATCGAACGCCATCCATTTTACCTCATAGTCATTATGGTTTTCATAATTCCTTCGAAAATTCTCTTTTTCTGGTAATATTTTTTTGCCATCACAAAAACTTATTTTTTTTTCTAGGACTGTTTCACCACCAACATATTATCATGAGCGATTGTGCCGTTCTGTCCACGAATGGCGAGGTACGCTATCACGAAGCATCTAATACTTCAACAACCAGTGGTGAAGCCCAGTCTGCATTCAGTTCTTCCACAAATCCGTCTACGCAGACGAATCCAACTGAATCAGAACGAGGGAATGGTGAATCAACTGTGCCTCCATCGGAGCCACCACCGCCTCCACCTCCAAGTGGAAATACAGCATCTACAGGTCAACAAAGTATGTCTGAGGATTATTCTGCCGCTTTGGAAGTTCCATTACGCAGGAGCAAACGTGGAAAGGGTCGTGGGGCGATAAATGCATCTGGACAAAATAGTAATAATGGAGTTTCTTCGGATGACCGGGTCTCATCTTGTATTGTAGAGGGTATTGAGTACAAGACGGGTAAGTCTGAAAGACGGACGGCAGATCAGATTCTAATTACTAATTGACTTTAACCACGTTTGTTCGTGCCCTCAGTTTTTCATTGAAGTACTGTATCGCTACTGCTAATGTAAAAATAAATACTGAATTATTGGTCTGACCGAAGGTGTTCATAAATGTGTTTGTTGTAGATCAAGTGGTAATTCACACAATATTTAATTTAGTTGACACTATCACACTCATTGCGGGGCTGAGGAGAACCGGAATGGTCCTTATGCGTCACAATAAAGACGAGCTTGTGTGACCGTAGCCATAGGTATTAAGGGGCTCTACTACCAGTGCGCACCATTTTGTAACATTTTGAATTCGAGCTGCTTCATGGTCAATCTATTTGAGGGTCTTCGGGTTTGTTAGGGTGTTTCCACCGGTCCATACTGTCCATACTGATGATATAAATCTTCACTCTCACTTGGCTCAACGTCACATATCCTAATACGGGTCTCGTGTAGCTCCTTACTCTGTGTTTGAATGTAAGCCGTTGGTTTTCTGAACGTTTTGTGCCTGTGTGCGTGTATTTGATAAAAGTATCAACTTCCTTATCAAATTATTTATATAACTTTATAACTCTACCGACTTCGATGGTAGGCAGCTCTGCTGTCGTCCGGTTCAATACCACGTATAACCCATCGGGGCCACTTCAAGTCCCGGGGCTTAGGTTGCGGGTTTCCACCACCGAACAGCAGGTTCGCCTTGTCTGCTGTTCATCACACGTGGGTGTTTAGTAAAAATCCAAAGACTTGGATTTCCGTCTCATAAAAATTTAGTTTACACAACTGTGTATGTGAAAACATTGACGCTGTTTAGCCTCAGGCATT